GTATGCTAACTTTCGCGCTATCTGGTTATTCTTGCCTTTGAAGGATTCTAACTTGAGCTTCGGAGCCCTTACGCTGGGTTCTCCCCGGAGCTTCTCTTCTCCTACCGTTTCAGGTCCCCGTTACTCAGTTCAGAGGCAAGATCATCGACAGCTAAGACCGGCCAGATTGTGCATCATCAGGTTTATTTCCAGACAAAACCAGTTCTAAAGCTGGTTCAATCAAGGTTAATTTCACCAAAGAATGATTCATCAAGTTGGTTCAGGTAGGATAAACCCATTGACCTTAAAACCCAAGGACCTTAAAATTGGTTTAGGTAAGATTGTTTCAAGACCAGGTAAGGATCGATTCCACTTCTGCTTTAGATTGGTATTTGGTAGAACTTACGTATTTGCTCATCTCGATAATTTACAAGCATTGAGATTTTCTGATTGTGCATCTACAACTCTAATTATTTACTGTTAATTACTAATTATTGTTAATTACTAATTATTTACTGTTAACTACTTTTAATTAATTAATTCCAGCTATTAATTTATTATAATAATTACTACTAATACTTAATTACTGATAATTTATTACTAATAATATTATTCATTATTAATTCGAAATGATAATTAATTAATTATAATTAATAAATATTTACATAATGGTAATTAATAATTCAGAAACAATCATTTTATATTTATAGTAACTAATATTAATTATTTTTAAAATAAATATTTAATGTTAATTATTTATATTATAATTATTATCATAAATTATAATTCATACATTTATATGAAATAATTAATTATATTATTATTATTATTAATTATAATTAATTATTACTTAAACTAATGGTGATAATTATTTCTTAGGAATGTTAATTAATTAATGATAATTAATAAGTATTTTAATAATGTCGATTATTAATTGGGATATAATCATTTTATATTAATATTAAATTAATATTAATTATTTTGTAAATATATAATTAGTGTTACTTATTTATAATTAATACTATTATTATTCTCCAATAAATACTTTATTTAGTGAAAGTTAAATTATAAAACTTTCAATTATTCTATATTTTTAAAATTAAAGAATTATAAAAGCAAATATTATTTTATGAATTAACTAAAAATCGTAATTATAATAAATTAATTACTTAATAAAAATAAAAATAAAATAATAATAATAATAATAGTAGTAATAATAATAATACTTTAATACTACTGAATTCAAAATCAATACACACATAATAAGAATATATTACTAGTTAATAATAATAATAATAATAATAATAATAATAATAATAATAATAATATACTTATTATTATTACTGATTTCATAATTATTAATCTATTAATAATAGCAAATTTTATTTATTTAAAATTATGTGCTGAAATTACCCATTTTAATTTAGACAAGTAATTAATTACTATTTTTAATTTCTTAAAATTATTATTTACTAAACAATTTTAATTGCTCTTTGATTAATGACCTTATGTTTGAATAATTGTTTTTTTTTTATGTTCAATAATTTTTTTTTGAAAAATCCAAATAAATTTTCTTTTGCAATGCTATCCATTTTATTTTTCTCTTATTCAATTTTCCAAAAGATAAAAAAATAAATTAATGATGTTTATCTATTTTTATAAAATTATGTATTTAACAAGTTGTTGTCATTGATGATGACGATGATGATGAGTCAACTTTTAGAAAGAGAGTGGGTACTAATAATAATTAATGACTTCTAATTAATTAATTTCATCTATTAATTACTAATAATAATAACTCATTAATAATAATTAATTAATTCAGAAATAATCATTTCATATTTATATTAAATCATATTAATTATTTTTATAATAAATATTTAATGTTAATTATTTGTATTAGGATTATTATCAAAAATTATAATTCATACATTCATATGAAATAATTAATTATAATATTATTATCATTAATTATAATTAATACTTATATTAATTAATATAATTATATTATTATTATCAATAATTATAATTAAATATTACTAATAATAATGATTTTTTATAAAACTTAATTACTGATTATAATTACTTAATTATAATTACTTACTGATAATTAATTCCTTAATTATAACAATGATAATTATTACTTCAAAATGTTAATTAATTAATGATAATTAATAAGTATTTGAATAATGTTAATTATTAATTGGGATATAATCATTTTATATTTATATTAATTCGTACTAATTATTTTATAAATATATAACTAGTTTTACTTGTTTACATTATTATTCTCCAATAAATATTTCATTTAGTGGAAGTTAAATTATAAACTTTCAATTATTCATTATTGTTAAACTAAAAGAATTATAAAAGCAATTATTATTTAAGGAATTAACTAAAAATCTTAATTATAACAAATTAATTACTTCATAATAATAATAACTTAATAATAGTAATAGTAAAAATAATAATTTAATATTATTGATTTCAAAATCAATACACACATAATAAGAATATATTATTAGTAAATAAGAGTAATAATAATATACTTATTATTATTATTGTTGATTTCATATTTATTAATATATTATTAATCTATATTACTCAATAAAGACATGGAATAAAAAAATATTCAAATTGCCACTAAATGAATGAACTAAAAGTCTATGAGTATTCTAATTGACTTGAATTTGACACATCAACATGCCCGAAATTATAATTTCAACCTACATTTTCTATTTCTATCTCTCAATTCCTATAATTCAAACATACCATTAGGTTATGTACAAGTTTCCCTATCCTTTTCCTAAAGATAAATTCTAGCCAATCTACTTGCACTGTGGGAAGATTAGACTTAAAATCCAAAACCATGATCGACCAAAAGAAGCATTGCCACCTAACTTGGAAGTGACTTCCATACTCAGGATGGTCCCATTATTCTCCTTTCTTCCATGTTTCGTTTGTTGGATGGGCTTTGGACCCCTGATTATATTTTCAATTGATTGTAGTGATACATGATGATGATTTGATTGTAGTCATATATTTTTCATCTCATATTTCAGAGGATTGATGCATTTTTAAATGTTGTTTGGCATTGATTGTTTTTCTTGCCAGCTCTTTGAATGATTTTCTTCATTCTTTGCTCTTTGAATGTATATCACTTAAATGCTTTTTATCCATTCATACGTCCCAAAATATTAAGCAATATTGGTGATATTGTTGTAAACATCTATCTAATCTTACTATTTTATAAATAGATTAATGATTTCAAAGTTATTGATATTGTTTTGGGGGTGGGTTGCTCAATAGGACATTGATTTTTTATTGTTAAATAGTAAACTTCAAATTAAATGATATTGTAGTCGCCCCTTACTTAGTTTGGGGTCATTGTCCAGACAAAACATGATAAGTCTCTTAAATCAAATAAAGAGCCTACCCTAAATGTCTATTATAAATAATTACCAAAATAAAAAAAATCAAATTAAATCAAATAATTACTTGCTGAATTAAGTAAATAATAATAACAATCAATTATTTATAGAAATAATTAATAATAATAACAATCATCAAGTACTTAATTAAGTAAATAATAAAAAACAAAATAACAATATTTATTAACAGTAATTAAACCTTAAATAAGAATCAATAATGCTTATTACCAGTAATTAAATAAGAATCAATAAACCTTAAACCGAATACAGTAATTAAACCTTAAATAAGAATCAATATTTATTAACAGTCACTAAAATTGTTAAGTCAAATCATTAATGCTTATTCTTAAATGCAAATTGTGAATTAACAAATCTATTATATAATGATTATATTCGGTTGGAAAAAATCATTTTTAAGTAAATATTTAAATAATTACAAATTTAGTTAATATTATTACTATATAACAAAAAATTAAATTAAGTACTAAAATGAATTAATAATAATAATAATAAGAATGGTTAAATTAAAGTAATAGGCATTTCAAGTTGAACTTAATGCTTATATAATTTTACGGATTTGACATATAAGGGTCAATTTATGTGGACTCCTATACTATATGAGTGTCTTAAAAAATGACAGTTTATAAACAGTAATAAAAAATGGTAATATAAATCACTAATGTTTATTCATACATATATAATTAACTTCCTTGTATTTAGTACGGGTCATTCACTAGTATATTATGATTCAAATGTAATACTACGGATATGAATAGGTGTGGGTAGCGTTCTCGTAGATAGAAGATCCAACCTCAATCAGCTGGACTTGGGAAGAGTTGGCTGGATTGACTTCGAATCTCCTTGCCCACAAAAACTCTACCCACGTATAGCCATGACACACAACCCCTTACCCACAATACATTGCCCACACATATTAGGAACATCTTCTTGTGAATAAAACTATGATGGAGGATGAGATGTTCTCTATGTGTGTCTACAATGTTATGTGGATAGACATGGGCAGGAGATTGAGAGATGCAAAGTAGGGGTGCTCATGGTTCAATTAACTGAACCATGGACTAATTTTTGAAATCGAATCAGAATTATCAATTTTTTAGAAAACCGGTAATCAAAATCAAACCGGAGCCGATTGATTAATCAATTGGTTCGATTAACCGTCAGTTTTCTATTTTAGTTACCGGAAATCGAACCGATACTTTCAATTTTTTAAAATATTTAATCGAAGCCAAACCGACCGATTTGATTAACCGAATTTTCGATTCAGTTTCAGTGGATTTTTCGGTTCGGTTTTTTTCAAACTCCTAATTGCAAAGCGCGAAATTTCACCTAATAAAAATTACGAGGTCGGCATGATAAATTTTCATGTCTCGTTTCTAGCCTACGATTGGAATCACATGTCTACTCGCACAAAACCTTCTTTAGAGTGAATCCCTATGATGCCAATCTCACGGATAGAAAGCTTTCGCCTCGCCTGGTTAACTGTAGAGATCAACACTGGAACCGAGGGACAAAATTGGCAGGTTAATGCAAAACATGCAAAACCCTAAGATTATAAAAACCCTAATCCATTCACCTTTTTCTTCTCTCGCGGCGCCCTTTACCTCCACTCTTCTGCTTCTTCTCCCTGCAACCGGCGCCGGAATCTTAATTCCGTATCCTTTTAAAACCAGCCATGCCTCCCAAGTTCGATCCCACTCAGGTCGTCGACGTCTACGTGCGTGTTACTGGTGGTGAGGTCGGTGCGGCGAGTTCACTCGCTCCGAAGATCGGACCACTCGGTCTCTCTCCGAAGAAGATCGGAGAAGATATTGCCAAAGAGACTGCAAAAGAATGGAAGGGTCTCCGAGTGACTGTGAAACTCACTGTGCAGAACCGACAGGCCAAGGTATCCGTTGTGCCGTCGGCGGCCGCTCTTGTTATCAAGGCCCTCAAAGAGCCTGAACGGGACCGCAAGAAGACCAAAAACATTAAGCACACAGGCAACATTTCTCTTGATGATGTTATTGAGATTGCTAGGATTATGAGGCCTCGATCGATGGCGAAAGACTTGTCCGGAACCGTGAAGGAAATTCTCGGCACCTGTGTCTCCGTAGGCTGCACGGTCGATGGTAAGAACCCGAAAGATCTGCAGCAGGAGATCACAGACGGTGATGTTGAGGTACCACAAGATTGAGAAATTTAAGTTAACTCACCGGTTCACTACATTTTGTTTTTTTTTTTCCATCCTTTTTACTTATCCTAGGGATTTTTGATTTTGCTATTCTATCTTAAATATCGCCCCGAAGTTAAAGGGCAAGTGAAAACATTTGAAGGATTTGTTAGATGTCTCTCGATTCGTATGTTTGTTATTTAGGGTTTGGATAATATAATGTGGTTTCGGTATCTTTATCAATGCTTTATATTCTACTTGTGCTTTTAAATTCATTTGTGTGGATTTATGGATACTACTACGAGTATAGGGAATTCAAGTAGAATATGGCAATTCATTTGTTAGTTGTTCATTTCACATCGTTTTATTTGACATTCAAACTGCTTGGTTCAACTATAATTTGAAACATATATAATCAATTAGTTTTCGAATGTGTTATTTTTGAATATTGACTATGTAATGACTTATGTGCCCTCTGTATGAAATTACATGATCTCATAATTAGGTAGTTGATGCTGGTCTTGTCATTACTTCAGAAATTCTAAGTTGTCAACTAGAGTTTTACCTGATAAATGAGATGATGAAGTCATAGAAGTGTTTATGATTGGAATGTTTCTTAGATTCTGTGTGCTTTCTACTGTACAAATCGGTCATTCCTGTAGAGGGAATTCTTAATTTATTGATAAATGAACATTGATATTGAATTCCCAATGTTCACAGGTGACCTGTTGATAAATTACATACCCCATATATGGAGTGAATTATTTCAGCATCTCTGTTTATTTTTGTTTTTGAGTGAGTGCTGTAATATTACTTTCATGTTGATACACTTAATTCTTAGTATAAAATAATCCTTAACAAGAAACATACTAAACTGAACCTAATTAACTCTTTTTTGCGTTATTTTCAACTATTTTGGTTGGATACATGAATCCTTTCCTGCAACTACCTGTATCAAGAGCCATGATTTCTGTCGCATCACAAGTCCATAAATCAATTTTCCCATTTAGAACAGTAGGTTAAGAAACATGTCCAAAAAACCAGTGTGGCAAAAAAGTGAATACAATGGATTAGTGGTAAAACTAGAAAGGATTGGGTTAGGATTGGAACCATATGAAGGAATCTAGGAGTAGCTCCGGTAGGTGACAAAATGAGAGAAAGTAGAATGAGATAGTTTTGTGACATGATGGAAGGCCAACTACAACACCCATTAGAAAATTCTGTTACAAGTTGAAGGGGCTTGGGTGGAAGTAATAAGAAATGATTTAGCCTATAATTTAATGATGGATATACTACTAAACATAACAGTATGGTGAAACAGGATTAACACATCTGTCACCCTTGAGAGTTGAGACAAGGCTTATATGATGATCAGGGTCCATTTGGTTTGCTGTTGGAATCGGAATCTGAATCAAAATCTGTTGGAATTGGAATAAGAATGGTATATTCCCATAGTCTGCTTGGTTCAGACAGGAATCAGAATGCAATTATATTCTTAAGGGAGGTGGAGGTGATGGCCATTCCCTCAAATGAGGGAATGCCAATACACCAGCCCAATGAAACAGTAGGAATTGGAATGGCCCATTCCAATTCTGATTACAGACTCCCTATTCCCACAAATCAAACAGGCCCCTAATTTTCCCATTTCACAATGCTTTGTTTGTTCTTATTCTTACCCTTGTTCTTTTAGGATGGTCTACTGGCACCAAGTGACTCATTGATATGGTTATTGTTGTCTATGCACTTGACCAGACCATCTTATTTGACTTTTCCTCATTTTGACACTAATTTCATTTATCAAATGTCATATCTAGTGCTCTCTTTTCTGATTCTAATCTTTCTGTTCTTCTCATTCATTCATTATGGCATCCTTATCAGAGCTACATATGTTTTTTGGATATATTCATGATTTAGCAGCACTCTATCCCATATAGCATCTTTTTTTGGTAAATAATTCTTTAAACCAGAATCACAAAACACAGCCAAATAAAAAACACAATAGACAACAGCGGCCAAAGAAACAGCTATACAACTACCATTAGAATCACACTCCTCCACAATTAAGCCGCTACAATAACACAACACTACCAAACAGGAGAACAGAAACTGTCAGACACGAGCACCAAATAAAGCCAAGCCAGAACTTTTTATTTTTCCTTTTCAAAAAAAGGAATAAAACCAAGCCAGAACATCACCTGCCAACAAACCAGAACAAACAAGGCCTTTTTGTGCAGTAGTCTGATCTGCCACATTTAGTCATATAGTAATCTGCTGACTTTGAGAAATTCCACATCTTTAAGAAAGTAGTAAATATCCCAAGGGCAACCTGAGGCTGGTTTGGCTAGGCAAGTAACTAACTGCTCACAGGCAGACTCAATCTCCACAAAGGAAAGATTTTGAGAGCTAGCTAGTTCTAAGGCTTCCACCAGTGCAGCATCTTGAAGGGGAGAAGAATCAGTTGCTAGACCAAAAGAAACGGCTATACATCAACCAGTAGAAGCACACACCACCACTACAAAGGTAGCCTCGACAGGGTAAACAAAAGTGCCATCAGTATTTATCTTAAGAAAATTTGCCTTTGGAGGCTTCCAAAAAATAGGGAAGGACTGAGAGCCGGGAGAGGGCATTGTGGAGTGTGGATATCTCCATCTTCATAGTCACTATCAACCTTCTATTTGCCTGTTTATCCAGAAATTGCTGATGCTAGATTAGGAATCTCATAATTAAAGTAGTTATTGTTTCTATCAAGCCATATATTCCACAAAATAATGGCCTAATGCATTAGAGGTCATCAGAATGGTGTCTCATAGATTTACAGATGGAGAGGCAGCTCTTAAAACCATTGGTCAAACGAGGCAGTATTGATCAGGTCTGAGCTAATCAGCCCCATTCTACTGCAAAACTACACATTATGAGCAAAAGCACAGCGAAAGCTGCTAAACAAGGCATGCATTAGTCTCTTCCTGTAAACCATATTCTACACAGCCAGGTCAGACACTACACGCCCTTTGCCCTAAGATTTGATTAGACTGGATTGGTATTTAGGCAGCATCTGCAAAGAAAAGATTTCACTCTAGGTTGAACCGGCACTGGTCAAACAGCTTTCCACAGAGATCTGTCCAAATTAGGTTGAGGACCTGCAATTCTGAATCCTTTCAGACCTGGAATCAAGCGGGTATTCCAGAAGCTTATGCCCTCTCTATTTCCAACACCCCAATAGATTCCATCTAATAGGACTTCTTAAGGTTAGATGTTAGGAAATTCCAATTCATAAATACCTTGCTCTGATAACTTTAGCCCAAAGACTAGGACCGTCAGGAACCAACCTCCAAGCCAACTTGGCCAACAGAGCCGACCCACCAATCAACTTATTTTTATTAAGTTGCCCATATTGGCTTATAGATTTTTCCTTTACCTTTATTGGCATATGCCAGCCACCCAACACATTGGATCAACCTATCCACTTCAACCGGTTTCTAATTTTGTCTCTCTCTCTCTCTCTCCCGCACATTTCACCTTGTCATTATTATGGTTGATGATCTCATAATCTTACCGAATATTGATTCTGGCCTTGTGCTAGGAATCTGTTGATATATTTGCAATATGAAGCCTTGCCTCGTATAAAATTTTATAGACAATTAAGTTGATTATCAATCATTGGTCTTGTCATCTTGTGATTACATTGGCTCGTGTAGATCACTTGCAATTTAGTTCTTGTGTTTACGGGATTATATCGCTGTTAATACAACTGTTTTAAATTTACAATGAATTTAGCTCTTGAAATGTGTATAGGAAATGTGGCAGTAAGAATAAGCCACCTAGTTGCGAGAAAGCTTTGGTTTCTCAAGTTCATCTGCTTGTGTGCTGTCCCATGTGCACTCTTCTCGTGACGCTTCAGTCGATACAACCATGCTTCCATGATGTTATTGCTGCATGTTGTTCGTATTGATTAACGTGTAATGCAGGGAGAGTTCCGTGGGCAGCAGCACAGTCTGTTGAATGTAGACAGCTAAAAATGATACCACATAACAGCAATCCAAGAGTATTCATCCTTAAAATCTGAAGAGGAAAGAGTTAAATTTGACAAGAGAACTTGGTGAGCAAATGATTTTATGCTACCTTCTCTTGGCTCATAATGACTTCTCCAACCTGGAGAATTTGAAATGGATGTGCCCTTGTTCTAAATTAAAAATTTAGAAAATACCTACAATTCTCTAAAAATAATATAAAGCAGCTTTTTATTGACCATATTAACTCGTCAAATTATTTTAATATGCATGCATTTAAGGTTATAATCATATCCAGCTTTAATCAAATAGTTTTTACTTTTTAGGGGTGGCAATGGTATTTAGAAATTCGGTTTTGAATTTAAGATTCAAGATAATCAAATTTGAAATATCTTATTCCTATTGAATAGTTAATTGGATTTGAATTCATATATGATTTGATTTGATCAATAAATATCTGAATAGGATTGATTGTTTAATTCTTATATATAATATAAGAAAATAGTTAAATGTTTTAATTTATTGTTTATTAATTATTTATCTGAATAGGATTGATTCAATAAATATCTGAATAGGATTGATTGCTTATTAATTATTTAAAATAATTAATTGCTTGAATTCTAATCAAATCAAATATTTAATTGAATTAGAATTTGAATAGTAATTTTTAATATTTGTTGAATATTGAATCGAATTCATATGTTGAGTTTTCTAATTGGATTTGAATTCGGGATGTTGTCTGATTCGAGTTTAAGAAATTTGACTAACAAAAAGTTTCAATTGAAAGCTTGTAGGCTTGGCTCAATAAACACATGCATATATACTTACATATTTATATATTATAAAATATAATATTATATTTTATAATATATTATAAAAGTATATTTTATGTTTTATATATAATGTAAGAAAATATTATGTATTATTAAAATGTATCAATATATATAATATAATAATATATTTATTTCTGAGCTTTTGAACTGAACTTGAGCTTATCGAATACTTTATCGAATCGAGTTCAAACCGGAAAATATAGTTTAAGCTGAGCCAAGACATGCCAAAGTTCAGTTCAGCTCGTCTCGACTTGACTCGATTGCATCCTTATATGCACTACCCCCTTTTTCCATTTTGAAAATGTCCAAAATGCCCCTCCTGTTTTTTGTATAAGTAAATTCCCCCTCTATTATCCCTCTCGTTGTCACAATTGAACGCAAGGGTTAAGTACCGAACTTTGAATTTGATAAAGAGCCTTGACAACATTTTTTTTT